GCAGGCGGGCAACCAGGCTTCTCCAGTGCATAGTGGCGAGGTTGGTTCCGCCACACACACTTTAATATACATTCATCGTAAAAATACCGAATACATAATTGAGAACAAAATATCGAAAGAACGGCGCTCCCGAATGGCCTGGAAGTCCAGTGGTGTTCGCGCCGTCGAGTAGCCGATTTGAGTTCCAGGCACTCGATGACCAAACACCGCTGGACAAAAGGAAGATCCAAGATGGCCGCCGCCTCGTGGTCGGTAGCCGAACGACGACCACCCAAGAAATCAATTAACCGCCGATTTCTACAATGTTGCAATCGGTTAATGGGAGCCACACGTCCCTCTGTGTGTGGGTACTTTATTTGTTTCACAAACAGTGTGGAAAGTCACTGTTCGTGAAACTACCATATGAATGCTAGCTGCTTTCGGCTGCTAGCGTACGAATGCCCTCTATTACAGGTATACACCCACCTCGAGGAGACATATAAAGAATTATTGGAAGCCCGAAGATCTCTACATGCCCACATGACGAATCGACACTATAGCTCCATACAACGATCGAAGGCCTTCTTTTACCAACACGCCAACAAAGGAGGGCGGCTGCTGGCCAGAATGCTTAGAGGCCCCCAGGGCATGACCCAGGTACATAAGCTGCGGACGTCAGACGGCACGATCACACAATTCCCGGATAAAATAGCATCCGAGTTTCGCACATTTTACGCCTCGTTATACAACATCCCAGGACCCACACTCCCGGAGGAGGTGACACTCAGACGGGACAGAATAAGGAGTTACATCGAATCACACGTGAAGACGCGATTGCAGCAAGGGGAACCGGAGTTACTGGATATACCGATCACGGAGGCAGAAGTGGCAGGAGCAATCAAGACCGCCAAAACGGGTCGGGCCCCAGGTCCTGATGGCTTCACCTTGGACTATTATAAAAAATTCTGAACCATACTGCTCCCGAGACTCACCAACGCATTCAACGCTTTGATAGATGGCGCCCAGTTCGGACCCGAATCACTAGAGGCAACTATAACGGTCCTCCCGAAACCGGGGAAGGATCCCGAACTCTGCAGCAGCTATAGACCAATATCACTGCTAAATGTGGACGTGAAGCTCCTCACTAAAATACTATCCACCAGAATAGGGAAAATGCTTCCGAGATTGGTCCATCCGGACCAGACGGGGTTCATCCCAGGAAGGGAAGCTAGAGACAGCACCCTTAGAGTGCAATCCATCCATCACCTGGCAAGGAGATCAACAGATAAGCTCCTATTACTGTCAACAGATGCGGAAAAAGCATTCGACCGGGTTGATTGGACATTCCTTGTAACCACACTACGGGAAATGGGCTTCGGAGAGAACATGATGAAATGGATTGACGCGATCTACCATTGCCCCAATGCGAAAGTGAGAGTGAACGGAGCGCTTACCGATTCCTTCCAGATCCACAATGGGACAAGACAGGGGTGCCCACTCTCCCCCATGCTCTTCGCCCTGGCTCTCGAACCGTTCCTAGAAGCGGTGCGCACATCGGATACAATCCAGGGCTTCAAAAGCGGGGATACAACACACAAAGTAGCAGCATACGCAGATGATCTCTTATTTTTTATCAGGGAACCGGAGGCAACAATGACCCACTTAGTCACTATGATCACGGACTACGGGGAGGTCTCAGGATTCAAATTGAACATGAATAAATGTGAAGTACTTAACATTACCACTCCAACGGCCCAAACAATCGTACTGAAGAACCAATTTCCGTTTAGATGGTGCGCAAACCACATGCAGTATCTAGGTATCGCAATAACCAGAGACCTAGGTGACATGTATCTAATGAACTTCTTACCACTACTGCAACGAATCCAACAAGATTTGAAAACGTGGACATACCCACACATTTCGTGGTTCGGCCGGATCGCAATTCTCAAGATGAATATTCTACCACGGCTGTTATATTTATATCAGACGATTCCGCAAGCTCTACCGACGGCATATTTCGCGTCACTACGTTCTGCGATGGTGAAGTTCGTCTGGAGTGGGAAACAGGCAAGACTCCGACAGGAAGTCCTCTGCTTACCTTGAGCGTGGGGGGGATTGGCACTCCCTGACCTCCGCAAATACCACCATGCGACAGTACTACAACGCTTCCTGGAATGGCATACTCAACCGGAACATAAACAATGGATCGAATTGGACAAACAACATATAGGCCCCTCCTTTCTGACATCAGTGTGGAATACGAAGAAGATGCCGCGGACGAGTTTGGAACCATCCTCTACCGTAGCGCAGACACTGAAAGCATGGGATTATATCAGAAAGGCTCCTCACGTCTCTCAAACACCAAGCCCGATGACCCAGATACAATACAACCCCCAGATAGGGGGAGGGCTACCGCGGACAGCATGGTCCTTCCTGGGAGAGGGGGAATCGTACCCCATACATAAGGTGTTAACCAACGCAGATATGACCCCCCTGAGGGACCTAATGGAAGGCGACCAACCCACTAACCTACAAACCTTCCGCTATGTACAACTCAGAACATACTACCGGACACTTCCAGACAAGGAAAAGTTACACAGGGACTTGACATGGTTCGAAACGCTCTGCGATCACAAGACTACTCTAGGTAAAGCAATATCCCTGTTATACCAACACATGCTCGTGGGGCACCTCACTAACAACGACCAATTCCGCAGACGTTGGGAACGCATGCTAAATACATCATTCATCACGTCCCAATGGGATAAGATCCTCATATTACACCATAAATGCTCATCGAGCTCCCAATATCAAGAAACCAACTATAAACTTCTTTCATTCTGGTACAGAACGCCCGACAGCCTACACAGGATCTTCCCAAATGTACCTGACACATGCTGGAGATGCGGGGATGAACGTGGTTCGCCACTACACATATGGTGGGAATGCTCGCTCATTAAGCCATACTGGGACGAAGTCCTACAGAAAATAGGGGAAATCACAGGGACGGAAGGAAACCTCAACGCAGAGGCAGTCCTCCTACACTCAACACCAGTTCCCATAGGCACATATAGGAAAAACATTCGTAGACACCTAATTAACGCGGCCAAGGCACTGATTCCACTATACTGGAAACAAACGAATATCCCGACGATAAGACAATGGATGGAGCGGGTGGAAGAAATCTATAGAGCGGAATCAATACAGGCTACACTTAGAGGACTAGAGGACAAACATGTGGAGAGGTGGCGCCCGTGGCTACTCTACATAGCGGACCGAAACACGGATAGGAATAGCCATTCGCAGCCCCAGGGAGCCCCATGACCCCACACAGATGGGGACTGACGTCTGGTTCAATACATACTACGCCGTGGTCACGGGTGACGGGACCACCTTATTCTTCATACCCTCCCCTGCCCATCCACCCTCCACCCAGCTCCCCCCTCCTCATCCCCCCTCTCTCTTTCTCTTACTTCTTACTCAATTAACACTCGTCTTCTCTCTAAAACTCTCCAACAATGGTTTCATTATGACTTGCATGATAAACGTAGCCCTCCTTAATCCGAGATTGCCCACAATTGTGTCACTCACTCACACCTACACATCAAAATGGAAACAAACACCTTCATCATGCGATCACACAACACGAATAAGACACATCCCTGAACGACATCTGACCTATAACGACGGACCAATAGACCTTACCACCCCAAAGAGAATGAGGCTCAAGGGTGATAAGGAAATATTAGAGGAACACATAAAACAGACGCAATGCACATACTTACGAATATCCCTCTACTCAAGCCGCAATCCGATCACTCATATGTATATATTAACGTGTTAAACGCGACCAAATGCCATACAGATATAATATGTAACATTGTCTGAGTGATGCTCACACACTTCACGATGGGACCTGCGAGTCCGTTATATATTATCTACTTGTTTAATCTATAGATACCTGCTGATGTACAGTGATCAGGGCATACCCTGAAATGCTTATGTTTGAATAAAGCCTTTTTGAAACATAAAAAAAAAAAATACCGCAATACAACTTGCTTACAGTCAACAGTCATAGAATGAGGTCAAACATAATATAAATGTTAAATCAGGTACAATGTCTTGCCTCTTGAATCCCCATCCTACTATCATTTATTTCAGTGGTGTTGTAGGCAGTTATACAATAACAATTCAATGTAACTATTGGTTCAAACCACTTAACTCGTTTTTATTTTTTTTAAACGTAATATATGTGTGGCAAAAATGTTAAACTGAAACTTAAATAATGTTCCAGAGGCATCGTTAAATTTATATATAAACCTGAACCTGCCCAAAAAAGAGAAGGGGGTGACCATTACCAGGATAAATCTCCGACTGGCTATCCATCTCACGTACAAATTAAGAACTCCCAAACCGCTCAATGAAAGGAAAGGTGTCCAGTACATTAAACCTCTTTTGCTATCTTGCAAAAAATCTTGTAAGCTTGTGGTCTACCTCTTGCACTGAAAATCAGATCCTCTATCTCCTATTACAGGTATACATGGATACATACATTAACGGAATAGAACCAGTTTTTCTAAGACAACCTTTAGACCTATGACAATATAATCTAAAGTGGCTAGGTTTGCCACACCCCTCCTCTGTTGATCGGCACAGAAAAGACTGTGCTCTGCATTCCTGTTCTAAGGGAAACTATCCTCCAGGCATGCCTCCTGCTTGAATTCATCCTAGCATATAGAAATGCCTGTAAGGGGGTGGGGGCGGCTCTGTGTCAGAGCAGCACCAGCAGCAATGAGAGAGAGAGGAGACAAACAGACAGAATACTCTATTGCAGCAGCCTTAGACAGTCAATCTGAGAATGGAGCGAGAGAGAACAAATGCATTTTATTTCAAGCCAATACTTTTATAGGAAGCAAGTCCTATAATATGGAGATGCAGGTGTAGTGTGTCCTCCTATAAGCCCTCCCTCCGTGTCATCCCTCCAATAAAGGGGAGTTAAGTCATTGGACAAGGATTGGGCTGCATTTAAAACTTGGCCTCAATGCTGAAGCAGAGGCAAGTTATTACTTTATTTATTTTCATTTGGGGGTCACCAGTACAGCAAGTGTTTTATGAAAATGGAGTAACCATCAGATATCTCTTGTATGTCACTCTGTGGTTCATTCATAGCTATATCTTGTTGAGAGAATTTTGAGTTTTCTTCAGTAATTTCCAGGGTTTGTTTCCTGCTGCCCGTCATGGCGTGCAGTGTCCTTCACACGTAAAAATTAAGTTTCTTTATGAAAATTAAATGTTGAATGGGATTTTTGGCAAATGTTTTCCTGTTTACTTAAAACACGGTTTCGGGATAGCTGTTTCCACCTGCCCATCCTTCAATTCCTTCTCTATTGCCATCTGAAAAATAAAAAAGTTAAAATATCTGTTAGAATTTATTTGGCCATCCATCTTAAAATGCAATTTCAGTTAGATATTTCCACTAACATCGCAAATTTGTAGAAACACAAATTAAATGTGTCTTGTTATAATAATAAATGGTTTTGAACCAAACCCCCATTATCAGTATACTAGACATACAACTATCCAAACAGGAGGAAGCAGACATATAACTACATAACTTGTAGGACCAGTAATTCCCCAATTGTAGGACCAGTGACTTCCCACAAGTAGACATTTGCAGTAGTTTTTGGACAAACTCCAAAATGAACGATAACAATAATTTAGTAGCCATAATGATAGTGCCACTATTTTGAGAGACACTGCAGTGCCGGCACATAAGAACCATTCGACCCATCTAGTCTGCCCAATTTTCTAAATACTTTCATTAGTCCCTGGCCTTATCTTATAGTTAGGATAGCCTTATGCTATCCCACGCATGCTTAAACTCCTTTACTGTGTTAACCTCTACCACTTCAGCTGGAAGGCTATTCCATGCATCCACTACCCTCTCAGTAAAGTAATACTTCCTGATATTATTTTTAAACCTTTGTCCCTCTAATTTAAGACTATGTCCTCTTGTTGTGGTAGTTTTTCTTCTTTTAAATATAGTCTCCTCCTTTACTGTGTTGATTCCCTTTATATATTTAAATGTTTCTATCATATCCCCCCTGTCTCGTCTTTCCTCCAAGCTATACATGTTAAGATCCTTTAACCTTTCCTGGTAAGTTTTATCCCGCAATCCATGAACCAGTTTAGTAGCCCTTCTCTGAACCCTCTCTAAGTATCAATATCCTTCTGAAGATACGGTCTCCAGTACTGTGTACAATACTCCAAGTGAGGTCTCACCAGTGTTCTGTACAATGGCATGAGCACTTCCCTCTTTCTACTGCTAATACCTCTCCCTATACAACCAAGCATTCTGCTAGCATTTCCTGCTGCTCTATTACATTGTCTGCCTACCTTTTAGGGGTTGTTGTGATGAGTAGGACTGCAGTCCTTTGCCCTGTTAAGCACTGCAATTTATTTATTTATTTGGTTTTGTTATATAACATTTTAACAGAAACTTGACCTTCTAAAAATGTATTAGAACAACAAAATACCTTTCTAATATATTTCTGAGAGGAAAGAAAAACGGACTGCCAGTCTGCCACCTCACTCCCCTGGGATTACGAGTGTCCTGCTTTCTGCTGTTGATATTTTTGTATTTTTTTTTTCATTCTTTATTTGGCAAATATTTAAAAAAATAAACATTAAAGAAATAGAAACAGTCAAAGAAGATTTCTCACACAGGAGATAGAGTAAGAAAGGGCATTGTGCAACAGAGTGTATGGCATTAGTGAAATATTGAATTAGCGCAATAATGGAAACAAGGTCTACGCTTAGGCAAAATCACTGAGGAGTGTAAACTGCCTTAGGTTACCAAGGATAAGGAGAGAATAGGAAGAAATTGGAAGGAATTTCTAAGCAAGGTGAAGGCATTGGAAAAAAGAAATGAGAGGGTAGACGGAAAGGGAGAGGGGAAGGAAGGGATCAGGATCAAGGTCTTAAAGGACCACTATAGGTACCCAGACCACTTCAGCTTAATGAGGTTGTCTGGGTGCCTGGTCCAGCTAGGTTTAACCCTTTTTTCTATAAACATAGCAGTTCAGAGAAACTGCTATGTTTATAAATGGGTTAATCCAGCCTCTGGTGGCTGTCTCATTGACAGCCGCTAGAGGTGCTTGCGTGCTTCTCACTGTGAAAATCCCAGTGAGAAGACGTCAGCGTCCATAGGAAAGCATTGTGAATGCTTTCCTATGGACTGGCTGAATGCGCGCGCGGCTCCTGCCGCGCATGCGCATTCAGCCGCAGAGGAGGAGAGGAGGCCGAAAGGAGGAGGAGAGCTCCTTGCCCGGCGCTGGAGAAAGAGGTAAGTTTAACCCCATCCACCCCCTAGAGCCCAGCGGGAGGGGGACCCTGAGGGTGGGGGCACCCTCAGGGCACTATAGTGCCAGGAAAATGAGTATGTTTTCCTGGCACTATAGTGGTCCTTTAACAGTGTTTCATAGGTGTTTGATAAAAAAAACAAGTATAGCTAGAGATTCACCATTTGGTATGGTGGAGTAAAAACGCTGCAGGATGGAAAGGGGGAGAACTCTCAATTAGATGAGACATGACAGTGCGGATTTAGCAATAGGACGTCAGTAGCCAATCAGCATGGATCATACCTAATAAAGAGCATGACCCCTCTTTCTTTGCTGTTCACCCGGACAGTTAAGTACTTATATCTGTATTGTTAATTCATATTAGATGAGATCTGTATTACTCAATTTGCATTGATTGAATCATATACAATATCACTTTTTATGCCCCTATTTAGGTGCACTTTCCTCAGGTGATTCCTCAATTCTATTTCACTGAAGCTCTGTCCGTTGGAGTCTGCTTTTTGCACTCCTTCCTCTTTTCACTTGTGTCGTGTGCGATGGGCATTTTAAACAGGCTAACCATCGCTCCTGTTCAACTCTTTGTTTCAATTCCCATGTGTGATGTGGTTTTTGCACGTCTCACGAGATTGACATCCCAACTGGTGATCAGCTGGTTCATATGCAGATTTATTTCTCCCAAGTTAACTCAGCTTTCAAACATACACTTTGTCAGAAAGTATCTCCAAATAGTAGCTGTACAGTAACTAAACATTGGGTTCTCAATGCCGGAACAGGTAATGAGATAGAATTAATTTCCCATCCACCACAAATGTTGGTTCCCAATCCAATAATGTTTTCCAAAAATGACCAACGACTAATCCATTTAGAAATATCAGAACTCATTTCAAAATGGGCTGTAATTCCAGTTCCTTAACAGACCTAACAGTCCCCATTCACAAACATTATTAACCTTTTCTTTAAATGTTTCTGGGTGAATAGAAAATGGCAATTTACCGGCATACCCTTAGGATTGTCCTCCGCTCCAAGCTTCAGAAACCAGTTATTTCTCTATTAAGAAGCAGAGGAGTGAGACTTGTGGTCTACCTAGTTGATATCTTACTGATGTCTCAATCTATACACATGATTCAAACTCATGTCCATTGGACAATTTCCTAACTGACCTCATTTGGATTCATATTCAACAAGAAGAAAGCACTCTTTACCCCAATTTACGAAGTAGAATATCTCGGTTTTCTAGTCAATTCTCGAGAAGCAACACTCACAAAAAATGAAAACTATTCAAAGAGAAATGAACTCAATGCTCAACAAGAGTTCGAACTCTATCTGTTCCATGGCACGTATTGTCGGCTTGCTCTCACTCTCATTTAAATCAATTTTCCCTGCTCCACTCCACTATAGTGCCCTTTAAACACTCAAACACCAACATTTGAGAATCAGCCTAGGGTATTTGGATGAAACACCTCTCACTCCAGACACCAAAGAAGAACGCCTTTGGTGGCTGCAGAACATTCAAAATTTGAACAGATAAGCTATTCTTGGTTAATTTCCCGACATTATCACAGAATCCGAGTCCCCCCCAAGAAAATCATTGGCCTAGTGCACTTTGTTACTAAACTGTAGCAAATTGAAAGACCACATTCTGACTCCTGGCTAACTCACCCGTCACTTGTAAGGGTTTAGTCCGTCTCTCTATTGGTTGCTCCAGGCTGGGATGTTCCACTCTGAAGATGAATTGTGCTCCTTGCTCTGAGCTCCGTAATGGAAAGATATTCAGACATGCTGTACAGCTGTACGTATTATCCGGCTGTCTCTCATGTCTGAGATCTGGGATCTGGAATCTCTCATTGCAATGCACAATATGGAGACCTCCTTGATTCTGATTTAGCCATGTCACAGTCAGACTTTCAAGGTAGTACTCTGAGATCTTTGAGATCTTACACTTCAGTTTGGTCGGTCGATTACACTGTAACTGGTCGGGTACTGTCACTTCTTCAACCTCTGGAGGAGACTCTATATTAATGAAATGAGAACAATATGTTAATTAAAGCACAAAATATGATGGATTTACTCACTAAATAGGCAGTTATGTTGAATTAATGTTTGATTTGCAATGCCTTAGGCCTAACTAGACAAATATTATCACTACTAGTATGTTTGTGATTGATTTTGCCTATGTCCCCTGGCTGCCTGAGAGTGACTTTAGTGTCAGTGCTGTCAACGTGGAGCGGTTCAGTCACCTCAAACTTACCTTTCTCCTATTGGTTCTTGTTCTCTTCCTCTTTCAGAATCTGTTCTTCTTTTCTTCATTTCTGATTTATTTTTCTTTAAAAGTAACACAAAGTAGAGAATATTTGTCGTATGTATTTTTCCTACACTGTAAGTGTAACTTGCCTTAATCTCCACCTTATTGTCACAATTTTCAAGTGTATGAAAAATACATAAGATAGTAAGAGTTGTAGAAATTGTGTTGCTCTTTAAAAAAAATGTATGTCCAGAATATCGGCAACAGTTATCGGTAATTTGCCCCAATTGGTTAAAATAAAAAAAGCCATTTTTCTTAACTTTGCTCTTTCTGTTGCTTAATAGATAAGTCCCTAATTTGGTGCCCTTAATTATGACAATCGCACATAAGCGTAGGGTACCAAATTAAAAAGCTATCTACTAAACAGCTGAAAGATCAAAAATAAGTTGCTTAGAAGGTAAGTCACTAACGTGATACCATTAATTATGGAGATTCCACATAAGGATACCAAATTAGAGATCCGAACAGCTGTCAGTTTACAATTAAGAAGAAAAAAAAAGTCCTTTTAATTTTTCTGTTTTCGTTGCTTAATAGGTAAGTCCCTAATTGCTATCCTTATGAAAACAAATGGATCCAAAACATTTTTTGACTCAATTCATTCAGAAAACTTTAGTTTTGGTTAATTTTGTGTGTTTCGGAATTTGAAATTCAATTTGTCTGATAACGAATGTACATGTCTAATATATATTCAATTCAGAGATTCCGCATGATGAAAAAGGTGTATTTTCATGTAAACAATAAAGAATGATCTTGGTGTGTAAGTTATATCTTACCCATAAGAGGGACCACTAATGTAGGTTTCTCCCTGTTGTCTTGTCCTGTAAATACAAATTGAAATAGCAAGTAAAAATGTTTATATAACTTATAATCAATTTATTAGCTGCTCTCAGAGGTTAGATAAATATAAAGACAGCAGGTCTGGATTATTTTGCTTCTACTTAGAATCACATGTTTCTGGCTAAAATTAGTCTGGATTAAAGAAACTCTTCAAGCACCAAAACAAGTACTGCCCGCTATAGTGGTTATGGTACCGGGAGTGCCCTGGCTCCTAACCTGAGTAGGACCATTTAAAATGGTTTGACAAAGGCCAAGCTTGAACCTTGAACTGGGCGGGCGTGTACGGCGTGAGCTCCTTTCTAAAGCTACAAAACTGGGGTGAAATCATCAGCAATTAAGCCTCAAAACTTACTATGGTGCACTGCCCACGTCGGGGGTGCTACAGTGATTCGATTGACACCCCACTCAAGCCTGTTACTGCCAGGAGCCCAGCGCGCTGAATCATGGCCTACCTAACGTGGATTTGGGCGGAGGCGGCCGCTCCTCTCACTTACACACCTGTCATGCAGTCTTACCAGCCTCCTTTGGTGGTCATACCGGTCCACACTGGTGAGCTACAGACTACCTTTGTGGCACCTGCAGTTTTCAGCCAATACTAGGCGGAGTAAGGTGACCTAAGATGGCCAGCTCACTTACTGAGGCCTCAATGGCGCGATGCTTGCCACTATCAGCCCACCGCAGTCCCACGGAGCATGTCTCGCAGAGGCTGGACGCCATATTCTGTAGCTTTTGGGCTAAGCTGCAAAAAAGAGGTGAAGCTTCCCATAATTTGCTTCAGGGCAGCACTGAAAGTAACGGGAAACGAAGGGCGGGAAAGTCTCCACTGAGAAGAGACATAAAGCAGTCACCTACCCGGCTTCCTCTCCGCCTATTTTGGATGAGACATAGGGACAGCCCTCCTTCGTTGTCACACACATGGGCATGGAGAAATGCTCACAGACCGCACGGGCTTTTACCAAGCTCTTCCAGCAAACCCCAGAAGGGAACAGCCTTGGCGACATGGAACAATGGGCGCAAGAGGCTGTTACGAACCCGGTCAGTACCTCATCGCTGTGAACAGACCCCTCAACGCCACTCACCCAGTCACCAAGCAAACAAGCACGCACACTCCCACCACAGTATAACTGAGGATTATGTCTCAAGTGGGATTCACTGCTGGCAGACACAAGTCTCGGACGAAAACAGAGAAGCCACTCTCATGAAGAGACTCTTATGCTACTGGCGTACTTGGGCACAGTGTAGGGACCTCACAGGAGTGCCTGTCGATGGTGGAGGCTGGGACTTTACCCCCACAGGAACTGACTGACTGACCCACATATCTCCCCTGCAGCCTGGATGTCTCATTCATGACCATAATTTGCGACTTGACCCTAATGTCTCAGCTAGTATTCATGGTTACTGCATAATAACCGAGTAACTTGTTCAATCCTACATCCCAGTGGCTTTTGCTCACACCTTGACAGTATCTAGAGCTCTACGCTATAGCATATGTCTGTCTCGCTCTCACTGTTTTCCCTACATGACACTGTGCTACTGTCTAGGTTACGTTTTCTGTTTTTGTTTCTCTTTATATCATACAAAAGTGAAGCTACCTGTTATCCTCATCTGTCTCATTTTACTTAAAAAAAAAAAAAGTGCAGTTTTTCATTTTACCAGGATGTTAACTACTTTGGATATGCTTACTATTGATATTGCGGCATTGAAAGTTGATTGTCATCTCATGCATAACAAAAATAAAAAAATTATTAAAAAAACAGACAGTTTGACAACTTACCTGGGTTCCCGAGCACCCGTGTTCCATTGTTTTTCTCCTGCAGAAGTCTGACATCTCTGCCAGAACTAAGCACAAAGCGCCCAGCTCAGACAATTCTTAAATGGTTTGAGTACTTACTCTGGGAGGATGGCATGGAACATTGAGCTGTAGTGGTTTCGGTGTTGGAGTTTCTCTTAAGATAGCTCTGCATGATGGGTTTGTCTGGACGCGGCTCAGCTTTTCTACCTACCATTTTATTTGGTATCAAGTTCCGTATCTCTTATAATAAGTAGTGACCAAACTAGTCATTAATATGTCAGTGTAACCTTAACTAAACTACAGCAAATTATGATCTTTATTGTAACAAATTCAATTCACAGACAGGGGACATTTAAAGTGAGCATTTGCAGCGTTTCTGCTTGAAACGGTGGCCATACTAAGATATTTGCACTTTTGTGATGGTAGCAAGTTGCACCCCCAGCACACAGGACTAGGTAGACCAGAAATCTATTCCGGACTGCCTAATGTCAAATCTGTGCAAAATATACATCTATTGTCAGCGTGCAGAGCATGCTGGCAATAGACACAGTGAACTTCTCCCCTTACAGGCAGCGCTCTTTCACCATTCTTGCGCTCCCTTCCTGCCTCCCTATATTGATATCAATTTTTTTTTTATCTGAGAAGCTTTTGATTGGACCACAAGCGGGCAGCAGTGACATTGACGGAGAGGTGGAAACCAGCGCAGGGAGCTTCGCCCAGAGTTGGATTCGAGGTAAGTTTAATCTTTATGTGCAGGTTTATAGGGTGAGGGGGAACGTAGTTAATAATGCCCAGTGGGGTGTTTTAAACTAACTAAATACATAAATATTATATATAGGGTTACAGTAACCATTTAAAGGAACACTATAGTCACCTAAATTACTGTAGCTAAATAAAGCAGTTTTAGTGTATAGATCATTCCCCTGCAATTTCACTGCTCAATTCACTGTCATTTAGGAGTTAAATCACTTTGTTTCTGTTAATGCAGCCCTAGCCACACCTCCCCTGGCTATGATTGACAGAGCCTGCATGAAAAAAAAAAAACTGGTTTCACTTTCAAACAGATGTAATTCACCTTAAATAATTGTATCTCAATCTCTAAATTGAACTTTAATCACATACAGGAGGCTCTTGCAGGGTCTAGCAAGCTATTAATGTAACGGATCACCTGGCACCCCCGACTGGGTACCTCCGTTGAAGGATGCTCCTAGCGCTTCCTGAGGACTCCAAGCACTCTGGCAGACACCACAATCACCGAACCGGAGAAACAAATAAATTCTCCCAAGCATATGAATGCTGTAGACAGTTGAATAGGAACCATACGAATAGGTTTACTCTCCTAGCAAAAAGATAAAGAAAAGAAGTTGAGGGCTGCGCTTAGCAAAGAATAAACAAAAACAAATAAAAATAAATAAAGGTAAAAAACAATAAGTTCATCCACATATAAGAAAAGTATAAGTTAAAACAATCTCACTGATGTGCAGTGATATAATATAAGTCCTCAAATGTCACTCCGTCCTTGTGGTGGGTGGTCCATATATGTGAAGACAAAAAATGGGAGAAGAAAGGCTTCCAATGGTGAAATATTGTATGTCCAAAGAGTAATATATATTCAAAGGAAAAGGTATTTCACTCACATTTGTTGGAGCTTTATCCAGCTCTCGGAGAGAAGGCACTTAGTGGTTTGATCCCCACTATCGGATATACTGAACAGTTGGTCTGTCCGTCCGGTTAGAAGTTTCTTTGGTGTAGGCTAGGACCTACTCGGATGTGCAATATTCGTTATGCTGGGGAGATGGGTCCGCCTTTCCAGTATTGGATGGTAGGTGTCCACGAGATATATAAAACAGCAGATAGTGCTCTCAGTTTGAACAACACAGTAATATGTAAAAATCAGTTATACTTACAAAGATAGAGCAGACAGATACTGCTCTATTCCCACAGCGCTGGTGGAATTATCCCCACCTCAGGATTTCTTTAGACGGGATGCACTCCAGTGGTGGATAATAAAATAAAATAATACAGTAAAAGTATAAAATAAAATTAAAAAGAAATAAAAATAAAATTTGGAGTAATTTAAAATAATTATATATAGTAAAAATATGCCAGGAGTAAAAAATAAATAAATTAAAGAGTATATAGTACAATAAAATAAGTGGAGAATTGGTCCTATATTGAAGGTAACCAAAAAATAACTTTTATTGACTAAAATACACTTATAATAACCATTTACGCGTTTCACCTTTAAGGTTTTTTCAAAATGGTAAAAGAACAGTATAACTGGCAAAAGGTTGAATATATAGGTTCACAAGGGTTTGAAAATGGCGCCAAAATTTGATGCACCAATCACAGAGGAAATTACAATCAAAATTTAAAATACATATCAAAATAACTTTTAAACATGATAGATGCATTGCTATAAGCCTGATTAGGCTTAAAATATATACATTTGATAAAAACGAAGCTTTGGGACGATGTAATTAGTTGTTGGTTCCGATCACGTGATCGGATGGGGAGAGATATAGAGTCATTTTTAATTTAAAGTACAAACCAAAAATTAAAAATGACTCTATATCTCTCCCCATCATTTTTAACTATACCAATAAAAGTAAAGAAATAAGGAAGACCATTCATAAACACTGGCATATCCTAGAACATGATGGAAAACTCTCCAAAATCATTCCAAAAAAAACGAGTATAATTTTTAGAGGGGCCCCCAATGTGAAATCCATTCTAACTACCAATTTTACTAAAAAACCTAAACCAAGTGTGTCTTTCTTCCCCCAATCTCTAGGTTTTTATAAATGTAAGAATTGTATTGCATGCAAAACAGCCGATCCTACAATGCCACCTAAAATAATACAATTTATGTCAAATAAAACCAAAACCTCCTTTAAAATAAAGGAATTCATTACATGTAACACTAAAAATGTCATTTACTTACTGGAATGCCCATGTGGCTTCCAATACGTCGGAATGACCACTAGATGTTTAAAAATAAGATTAGGTGAGCATTGTAGGAATATTAAGAATGGTTTTTTAAATCACTCTCTATCTAAACATTTCTTAATTCACAATAAAGACCCCAAAATGTTAAAATATACGGGAATTAAGAAATGTTCTCTACCCTGGAGAGGAGGAGATATAAAAAATATTTTAGGTAAAACAGAGATACAAGCTACAGACCCTAATACCCAACGGACTTAATGCAGATTTTGATCTGCATAATTTTTTATAGAAAGTCTTTTAATCATATTTTATACCTATCTTGTGTTACCATCATGTCTCACCTTAATTTATGTCATACCCTAATTTTTAAAGTATATATTTTTAATTACTCTGATGCTATATTTATTTATTATTCATTATTTTTTATTACATTTTTATTTTTAGCAAAAAGTGCTTTTAAATTATGTTTATATTATTATTATGATTTTATATTATGGTCTACATCTATTGCATCTATTGTATGTTCTGTGCCTTTTATAAAAACACAAAGTCTGTGGAGGTTACATTTAAATATGTATTTATTACATATTGGGGTCTTATATTATAATAATTATTTCACTCCTGGTGTTTAAAAGCATGTATGGGTGCCCAGTGACCGGCTGGACTTCTTTTCCCAACATACTTTGCATTACCAGCCGGCCACCGAGCACTCCGTTCACACCAGGAAGTGTTTCGCCGAAAAAACGATCTGCGCATGCGCGCAGCGTTCCGATCACGTGATCGGAACCAACAACTAATTACATCGTCCCAAAGCTTCGTTTTTATCAAATGTATATATTTTAAGCATCTATCATGTTTAAAAGTTATTTTGATATGTATTTTAAATTTTGATTGTAATTTCCTCTGTGATTGGTGCATCAAATTTTGGCGCCATTTTCAAACCCTTGTGAACCTATATATTCAACCTTTTGCCAGGTGTACTGTTCTTTTACCATTTTGAAAAAACCTTAAAGGTGAAACGCGTAAATGGTTATTATAAGTGTATTTTAGTCAATAAAAGTTATTTTTTGGTTACCTTCAATATAGGACCAATTCTCTACTTATTTTATTGTACTATATACTCTTTTATTTATTTATTTTTTTACTCCTGGCATATTTTTACTATATATAATTATTTTAAATTACTCCAAAACTTTATTTTTATTTCTTTTTAATTTTATTTTATACTTTTACTGTATTATTTTATTTTATTATCCACCACTGGAGTGCATCCCGTCTAAAGAAATCCTGAGGTGGGGATAATTCCACCAGCGCTGTAGGAATAGAGCAGTATCTGTCTGCTCTATTTTTGTAAGTATAACAGATTTTTACATATTACTGTGTTGTTCAAACTGAGAGCACTATCTGCTGTTTTATATATCTCGTGGACACCTACCATCCAATACTGGAAAGGCGGACCTATCTCCCCAGCATAACGAATATTGCACATCTGAGTAGGTCCTAGCCTACACCAAAGAAACTTCAAACCGGACGGACAGACCAACTGTTCAGTATATCCGATAGTGGGGATCAAACCACTAAGTGCCTTCTCTCCGAGAGCTGGATAAAGCTCCAACAAATGTGAGTGAAATACCTTTTCCTTTGAATATATATTACTCTTTGGACATACAATATTTCACCATTGGAAGCCTTTCTTCTCTCATTTTTGTCTTCACATATATGGACCACCTACCATAAGGACGGAGTGACATTTGAGGACTTATATTATATCACTGCACATCAGTGAGATTGTTTTAACTTATATTTTTCTTATATGTGGATGAACTTATTGTTTTTTACCTTTATTTATTTTTACCTTCTTTTGTCTATTCTTTGCTAAGCGCAGCCCTCAACTCCTTTTTTTTATCTTTTTGCCTTATAAGGGTTCTGTGAGGGATTCCCTTTCAGGGTTGCTGCTCAATTGAGTCAGCGCAGACTCTTCCCCTCTATTTTACTCTCCTAGCAGTCAAACTGGAACAGCATACAATGAATCCTTCCCCCAATAATGAGACGACACTTCACTTTGAGGGTTAAAACAGGAACTCTCTGTACTGTCACATACAGTCTCTTTTATTCCCAATCCACAAACATAGTACAGCCCACAGGGCGTTACAAAACAACCAATCACATCACAGTTACATCCCACATATTCCCTCCCCTTATCCTGAGAGAAAACTCAATTATACATACAGTTAAAACATACTTTCTACCCAACTTTCATAACTCCAAAACCATACATCACATTCACATAAAATTACATATTCACAATCAATCCATTCAGGGGAACAACATATTCAAAAATGGCACGAATCAGACAAGGGGTTCAAAAGTTAGTAAAAGTCCTTTGTGACTAAATGAAGCATGGCTTTCTGGCCCAAACCAGTTTCAGAGTCTTCTATCCTGGAGATAAGTAATTCAATTATCTCCCAGGACAGACACAAGACTCCATTAAGCACATGGTTGCAAAAGACACAAAACACTTTAAAATACATAAAGTCACCTTTTATACATAAAACACAGACATTTCACATATCCCCAGATAGCTCAGGTCTGAGCGCACATTATTAAGTGAATGGCGCTCAGACCACACGAATACAGTGTAATGGCCATGGAGCCAAAGTCTTTACAGTCAGTTTCATACAAATGGGCTCCATGGGATTCCTATCTGGGGTATAACACATTCAAACACATCTACCGAACCCCAGGCAGAAAAGCACAAATACAGCTTTTCTGCAGGCAAAAATAAAGTCTTTTAAAAGGGGGCCATAGTCAGATGGCAGGAGGCTGGCAACCAGGCTTCTCCAGTGCACAGTGGCGAGGTTGGTTTCGCCACACTTCTCCCCTTTACCAATCAGACTAACAGGGTATCTGACCTCCTGCCGGTCAGTGCCCTTGTTAGTCCAGCAGCCCAACCACAAAACACAATCAGTAATACAGCCCACCCACAATAACTGGCTACTACACCTGGGTAGAGGAGAACTTTGTCCGTGTCCAGGTGCCTCACCATGGCTGTGTGGGTGACTGGTCAGCGTACTGGGTGGGTTGCGGAGTGGGCAGAGACCAGCGGTACTCGGTCCTGGTGCCAGCACTACCACGGGAGTAGTCTGGTTGGAGCCTGGTTGCTGGAGGGGGGGACAGACTGTCTCCCCTTTGCCTAAACAGTCCTGCTGCTGGGGGACAGGACCGACTGTTCCTACCCCCGGTGGTGCATGTGCAGAGACCACTGTACCCTCTGCACTGTTGTGGAGATTACTGTCTCCCCTTGGTGGGCTAAGCTGCCGCTGGGGAGAGGGGGTAACAAGCTCCTCTCCCATACATACTTTCCGGCCCACGCTGGGAGAGGGGGATAACAAGCTCCTCTCCCTGATGACGCTCTCTCTGCTGTTGAAGGGGGAGACCGACTGTCTCCCCTTTCAATAATTTGTCCTGTTGCTGGGAGGTGATAGCTGGGTTTCCTCTCCCTGGAACACTCTCTGCTTCCTTTGGAGGGACCAACTGTCTCCCCCTTTTAATATATTGCCCTGCTGCTGGGGGCGAGACCGACTGTCTCCGCTTCACCACCAGAACTACACTACCCAGCTGGGGAGGGAGGGGCTGACACCTTCAGCTCCCTGGAATTTTACACACACTGCCGCTGGGGGAGGAAGGGGCTGACACCTTCAGCTCCCTGGGGTACACACTGCCGCTGGGGAGGAAGGATTGCACCTTCAGCTCCCTGGGATACACACTGCCGCTGGGGAGGAAGGACGGCACCTTCAGCTCCCTGGGACACACACTGCCGCTGGGGAGGAAGGACAACACCTTCTGCTCCCTGGGGTACACACTGCCGCTGGGGAGGAAGGGCGACACCTTTGGCTCCCTGGGACTCACACTGCCGCTGGGGAGGAAGGACAACACCTTCTGCTCCCTGGGGTACACACTGCCGCTGGGGAGGAAGGACGGTACCTTCAGCTCCTGGGATACACACTGCCGCTGGGGAGGAAGGACGGCACCTTCTGCTCCCTGGGACACACACTGCCGCTGGGGAGGAAGGACGGCACCTTTGGCTCCCTGGGACACACACTGCCGCTGGGGGGGAAGGACTGCACCTTCAGCTCCCTGGGGTACACACTGCCGCTGGGGAGGAAGGACTGCACCTTCAGCTCCCTGGGGTACACACTGCCGCTGGGGAGGAAGGACTGCACCTTCAGCTCCCTGGTATACACACTGCCGCTGGGGAGGAAGGACGGCACCTTTGGCTCCCTGGGGTACACACTGCCGCTGGGGAGGAAGGACGGCACCTTTGGCTCCCTGGGATACACACTGCTGCTGGGGAGGAAGGGCGACACCTTTGGCTCCCTGGGACACACACTGCCGCTGGGGAGGAAGGACGGCACCTTTGGCTCCCTGGGCTACACACTGCTGCTGGGGAGGAAGGACGGCACCTTTGGCTCCCTGGGGTACACACTGCCGCTGGGGAGGAAGGACGGCACCTTCTGCTCCCTGGGACTCACACTGCCGCTGGGGAGGAAGGACGACACCTTTGGCTCCCTGGGATACACACTGCCGCTGGGGAGGAAGGACGGCACCTTTGGCTCCCTGGGACACACACTGCCGCTGGGGGGGAAGGACGACACCTTCGGCTCCCTGGGACACACACTGCCGCTGGGGGGGAAGGACGACACCTTTGGCTCCCTGGGGTACACACTGCCGCTGGGGAGGAAGGACGGCACCTTTGGCTCCCTGGGATACACACTGCTGCTGGGGAGGAAGGACGACACCTTTGGCTCCCTGGGACACACACTGCCGCTGGGGAGGAAGGACGGCACCTTTGGCTCCCTGGGATACACACTGCTGCTGGGGAGGACGGACGACACCTTTGGTGCGATCTGCCACGGCCTGCAGGTACTCTGCTACATGTCCCCTCACGCGCTGCACAAATTCCTCAGAGGGGACAAATGTAACGAGGGCCAGCCGCAATTGAAGCTCTCGGTCAAACTCCTCCTGAGTGTAGCTGGGCGCCATGTTTGCTCTGCCGAAGTTGGTTCCTTTGTAGATAGGGTCACTGTACGGGTACTAACGTTGCCCTCAATTGTAATCCAGGCACTGGTGTTGTCTTGTAGCTGTCCTTCTGGTTGTAGGAATGATCCCGCCGCTGCCACCAATTGTAACGGACCGTTTCTCTCACAAGGGGATAAAATCGGTTTAGGCGATAATCCCCTTTCCCATAGACCAGCAGCTACTGCAATCACCAACCTCCTGAACTCCAAACTGCACGTATTCACCAACACTCGAACAGCAGACACAGGAACCCTGGAAGCAGCCGAACAGGAAAAGCAATACAAACGGCTTACACTCCTGGCAGTCAGCACACAATCCAATTCCCCCAATAACGAGACGACACTTCGTTTTGAGGGTTAAGCAGAATCTCAGGTGCTGGCACACCCAGCCTGGTTTTTATTACAGTGTTGCAAATACAGGACCGCCCACAGGGAGGTATAAAACAACCAATCACATCACAGTTACATCCCACATATTCCTTCCCCTTATCCTGAGAGGAAACTCAATTATACATACAGTTAAAACATACTTTCTACCCAACTTTCATAACTCTAAAACCATACATCACATTCACATAAAATTACATATGCACAATCAATCCATTCAGGGGAACAATATATTCAAAAATGGCACAAATCAGACAAGGGGTTCAAAAGTTAGTAAAAAGTCTTTTGTGACTAAATGAAGCATGGCTTTCTGGCCCAAACCAGTTTCAGAGTCTTCTATCCTGGAGATAAGTAATTCAATTATCTCCCAGGACAGACACAAGACTCCATTAAGCACATGGTTGCAAAAGACACAAAACACTTTAAAATACATAAAGTCACATTTTACACATAACACACAGACATTTCACATATCCCCAGATAGCTCAGGTCTGAGCGCACATTATTAAGTGAATGGCGCTCAGACCACACGAATACAGTGTAATCGCCATGGAGCCAAAGTCTTTACAGTCAGTTTCATACAAATGGGCTCCATGGGATTCCTATCTGGGGTATAACACATTCAAACACATCTACCAAACCCCAGGCAGAAAAGCACGAATACAGCTTTTCTGCAGGCAAAAATAAAGTCTTTTAAAAGGGGGCCATAGTCAGATGGCAGGAGGCTGGCAACCAGGCTTCTCCAGTGCACAGTGGCGAGGTTGGTTTCGCCACAAATATATAATTATTCTTAATTCCACCTGCAGAATGGAATGTTTATAACTATATATTCTTTAGTTAACTAAGATTTCTTAATATGGAAATCTGACCGTGCTTTATCCAGTCATATATAATGCTATTAATACATTTTAATTAATTTAATTAATTAAATGAAACCAGTATAATTACCAGTTGAGTAGATATTTCATCCGATTGGTAGTCTCAGGAACTTTATGGATGTCTCTCTGCATGGAGGTGTTGGTTAGAAAGTCAGTAAATTCTAAGTGTTAGAGTTTTAGGAGTAGAGTGTTAGTCTCAGATGTTGTCCGAGTTGGAATCCCCAAACTTCCAATTCCTCTCTCCTCTCCTTTGCATCTCCTGCCTCCCTTGTATCTCTTGCCTCCCTTGTATCTCTTGCATCTTGCCTATCTCAATCTTCCCTTTGTCCTAACTTTTAAAGGGCCAGACTCTCTGTACGTCACCAGTTGATAACCCAATAGAAGCACTAGAGGTGTGGTTATCTTCCAGATCGCAATTTAGGTATTTGGTCTATAGAGGGCAGTCTTGTCCCACTAAACATACCTATCCAGAAAGAGTTAACTTTTCCTGGTGGCTATTTTGACGTCATTTTGCTTATCTTTATAGTGCCATAATTTAAAATTTCAAAGGGTTTCTTAAATTTTGTCCAGACTTAGCGTCTGCAATTCCTGCCATAATTTCTGATATCACAGATCATGAACTAAGTTTACCCTTTTCCATACAATGGTACCTTATATATATATAGACAGTAAAATTTAATTATTTAATCTTCTCTGTCACAATTGTCTGGGTTTAGATTTGATTATATTCCATTAGCATTAGACAGTCTGTCCAACCCCCTTTCTTATCACTTGTTTATACTATGCTATGCATTTTAGCTCTGACAAAGTGGCTAGTCTTACAGAAAGAAATCTTGTGTCTTTTTTTTTTTTTGTTAACTTGGAATAACAAAATGGAGTCTGGTCTGTTTAGAGTGACTCAGAATATACACTTTTAGTTTCTATCATAGCACAAAATGTCTGCCGATATAAATACTCTGACAGTTTGCCCCCAGAGTCCTTGGTCCCTATAGAGTGCTTCGTAGGATCAATCCAGTGTCTTACTCTCTGGCTCTTCCTGCATCTTTAGGGATTCCCAACACTTTTCATGTGTCCTTACTCAAACCTCTTGTCTGCAATAGATATATTGTTCCTTGTGTTCCTCCCCCTCCGGTGGTGGTGGGTGGTCATGAAGAGTATGAGGTATCTTCTATCGTGGATTCTAGGTTTTCTCGGGGCACTTTACAGTACTTGGTTGTTTGGAAAGGTTACGATCCTGCTGATCGTTCTTGGGTTTCGGCTCCTGACCTGCATGCGGGCCATAAGATCCGCGCTTTCACGCTAAATTTCCTCTCAAGCCTGGTCCTGTCCGCCCGGTGGGCGTTCTTCAGGTGGGGGGTAATGTCACATATTCATCCGCTTATAGAAATGTGGTTAATGACATTTACTGTCCACACAGGAAAAGTTGTGCCGGGCAGCAACCTAATCCACAGAAGGGTTAATGCTGAGCAGCAATTATGCAAATGAAACCTGGTAACTGACTTTGGGGTCAAAGGCCGGTTACAGCCTATCAGAACTAAAGGAGGGGTATTTAGGCCCAGTTCTCAGCCTGCTCAGTGCCCTGTCGTGGTTTCCCTTGTGGTTGTCTGAGAGCGCGTTCCTGTTTATAGTTTTCTACCTGGTTTTGACTTTGGCTTTGTTTATTGACTTCTCTATATTCTGGTATCCTGACTCCTGGCTTTCCTCATCGCTGTGTCCCTTTCTGTGTTCCCTGACCTCGGCTAGTATTTTTGACTATTCTTTGTACGTTAAATCCGGCCATTCTAAGGACCGGTAATACGTTACTTATTTGTCATCCGTGCTGTACAGTTCTACGTGCTGGATCAAACAGTAATCCTGACAGAATAGTGGTGATGGTAGTGGATTCTCTTGGCCTGAGAAAGGCATGGAAGGCTATGTACATGGCCGGTAATGGCCAAATTGGTAGATTAATTAAACGGTTGTAGATCTAATAGGTCAGATAAGGATGGAAAATTTGGATGGCTGTTGGTAATCTCTGAGAGGAACGTGGGGGGATGGATTCCTGAAAACCTCTGAGTATATTCTTGTCTGGTATGATGGAATGAAGTTATGGTAGTGTTGGCAATAAGGTTAGCATGTGTTGTTAAATGCCTGTAAAATATATAATTTAATGGTGTGTGTGAGAGTTCCTGTTTAAGATGGCAAAAAAGAAGCAAAACCTAGGAGAGATGTTATGACATTGGTTGAGATATGTCGTGTTCCAATAAGAATCTTTAAGCAAGGTGAAAGCTGTGTCATGCGTTTTACAAGTATGGGACAAAAGTGTTAAGTGGGATAGTGCATGCTATGCTGCATGAGTATGTCTAATCCATGATTTAGTCCCTGGAACTAAAAAGTGTCCGTGACTGTATGAGCGGCTGTAGGAAGCGTATGATGAACATGCCTGGAATATAAATGAGACAATTGTCGGCAGGTATGTTGCCACCGCCTGGTACATAAAAGAAACCAAGTGAGTTCCCTAGAAATATCATGATCGTATGTATGATGAGTGGTTTTGTTGATGATATGACATGTGCTTAGTTGTCTGAGTAACAACGGATTGATGACCCTGACTATGATTGACCCCATGCCACAGCAGCTGCTACAATGGGGTAGATCTCCAAAAGGTGCTGAGGTGGTGAAAAGTTACAAACCTGGATGCCATGGTCAACTGCTCCAAAGCCATCGTTCCTGGTAGATTGCTGCCAAACCCGTGATAGACGCCGCGTCTGACCATCTGGTTGGAGGAGTGTCGGACAACCCCGGGAGGAACATGCTTTTACCATGCCAAGTGGCCAAGAAATTTCTCCCCCTGTGCAGGTCTGCTGTGGATAGGGTATCTAGGGACATCCTCTGATCGTCATGATGGAAGTGTGAAAAAAGGGGGAAGTAGTCTGGATGTGAAAGTGTGGTCTTTTTGGTATGATTCGCATGGCAAAATTAAGGAACCTGGTAGGGATTGTAGTTCCTTGTGGTTGCAAGTACTGAGCAGGAAGTAGTGATGTAGTTGAGAATGTTCTCTATCTGTCTTGTGGTAACTTGCGCGTATGGATACTGAATCAAGTCGTATGCCCAGTAATGTCATGATATTGTCTGGGCCTTCTGTTTCTTATGGGGTACTGGGATGCCCAAGTGGTCCACCAGACTAAGCTTCTGTGAGGCTTCTAGTGAAAAAGGTGTTATCCTTGATTAACAAGAAGTCATCTAGATAGTGTATGACTGTAAGGCCCCTGGATATGTTATCATAATCAGCACAGAGTATCTGTGAATATCGAGAGTTGGCTAATTTGTAGCCCGAAAGTTGAGCGGGGAAAGGATTAGTAAATGCCTGCCCATTTTATGCCATGTAAGTGCCAGTGTGTAGGGTAGATGGTAGCCGTTGAATGTGTTGATGATACTGGTCTTACTTAACCAAGCTTCATCCCATGCTTGAGTGGAGGAAACTCCTCGGAGGGTGTGAGGGAGTTGAGACTTTGGATAACAGAGGTTTGTGGTGCCTGTAACGGATCGCCTGGCACCCCGACTGGGTACCTCCGTTGAAAGATGCTCCTAGCGCTTCCTGAGGACTCCAAGCACTGCAGCAGACGCCACAATCACCGAACCAGAGAAGCGTATACCTTCTCTCAAGCATATGAATGCTGTAGACAGTTGAATAGGAACCATACGAATAGGTTTACTCTCCAAGCAGTCAAACTGGAACAGCACACAATAAATCCTTCCCCCAATAATGAGACGATACTTCACTTTGATTGTTAAAACAGGAACTCCCTGTACTGTCACATACAGTCTCTTTTATTCCCAATCCACAAACATAGTACAGCCCACAGGGCGTTACAAAACAGCCAATCAATCCATACAATACACACAGACACTCCCACACAAAATCCTCCCCTCTGGCTGTGATATGATTACTGAACACAATGGGTAATCTAATTATCACAGCCAGAGAAATACAGTTTCATAAAACACATCACAGGGACCCCAAAACATGGAATAACCCCATAAAACGTATATCCTTGGAACTGGGGGATCTGGGTGAACCACATAGCCAAAATTCACCCAAATCCGTTCAGTACTTTGGAAAATACAGTTTAATGCAGATTCTGCAGAACATATACAGGCTAAATAAAAAACAATCACTGTATAATGTGTCCCCTGCTGTATAGTCCAAAACCACCGCACGATGTCTCTGTGCAACAAATACTGGCGAGATGGCACCGTGTTGAAAAGTCCAAACAGTGTCTGGGAGTTAAAATGGCCGCCATCCATTGTTCTCACCATGTGCTTCTGATACAGGAAATGGTGGCCACCCAGTAACTCCACAGTATGTCCCCAGATGGTTCTTAAAAGAGCCAGCAGCAGCACAACACAAATCCATTATGCCCAAATCATGTCTTTAAAGGGCAATACATTATTAACAGTGCATTACATTACACGCTATAACATACAATAGGAAACCCATACCGGCAACCCTTACAGAGACAGTACAAAATAATGTCCAAGTGGCTAGGTTTGCCACAGTGCCTATAAATCTATAGTTAGTCTTTGTTTAAGGGAAGATTTCCCCATTACAATACCAATGTGTTTGTGCGCCATGCTGTGAATGGTGGAGATTGGAAAAGCCCAAGTAAAAACACCTCTGCAAATCTTGACTATGAGTGTGTTTACAGCCGATGTTTCTGTTGTGCTGATTGCAAGTGAGGGCATGCTATATTACCTGAAGGTATATTTACGATACCTGTATGGGAGCCTTCTGAAACTCCAGAGCTTTAGTAAATCTACTACAAGTCTGGAAGGGTGATGAGTCAGTAGTGTTAAAAGTGCATTGATGTTTACAGATGGTGAGTAAGTTTTTTGTAAGTAGTATTGGGACACATGGTTTGTCATGTGCACTGAACCATTTGAACATATACGCAACAGTCTATATGCACTGCAACTATACATACCGATTGTCACTGGTAGTTAGCTCCGTTCTACCAGAGGTGCTGGTACCTTGAGCCTGAGAGTGCTTGTCCGTTTGGTTGGGACAAAATCCCTTCTGTTAGGGTACCTGCACAAATAAATATCTCTACATATGCCAAGACAACTCAGATTTACCTGGAATCCCTGTATCTGACCATGACAGATACATTGTCATACATATATATGCTTTGTTTCCCAGTGTGCTGGGATCATATGTGCAGCGTTAACGTCTTGAGTGTCATAAGAATTGATTTAACCAGGTAACCGAGTTTCGTTGGTGCTGGTTGTATGAGTGAGTGATGCTATCATGGCCCAGCCTTTGTGAGTGCTGACGTGACTGATTCGAGATTTTGCCAGTCTGGCGTTAATTTTCTCATGGAGTTCATGAGTGATGCTATCATGGCCTAGGATGGTCATTGGTAGAGATGTTAAGTAGATATCTTTTACCTGCCAGGACATCTCTGTTACTGTGTGCTGGGATCATATGTGCAGGGTTAATGTGCTGAGTTTCAGGAGAGTTGATTGTACCAGGTAACCGAGTTTCAGTTGGTGCTGGTTGTACAGTAGTGTGAGGCCTAGCCTTGTGAGGGCTGTGGTGTTTGACTGTCGTTAATTTTTGCTCATGAGTTCAAAAGTGAGGCTAGCATGGCCTGGGTGTCACCTGAGTTGGTGTTGCTGGTGACTTCCCCCGCCTCTGTGTTGTCCGTTGATGTGCGGAGGAGTTTAAATAACTCTGCTTTCTTTGCTGAGGCAGGGTAGGGGATTTGTCGCCTCCTTAGGTCAGTGGTAATGTGTGGGATTGTCCAGGATCTGATTGATGCTGGACTAGCAACATTTCCTCTGCTTGAAGGTGTATCAATTCTAGCCGGGGTGCTAGGAAGAGGTAATTCTTCGCCACCTTCTTGAGACATACTTAAATAATAATAAAGATAGTAATTATTATTTGTACCCAGTGGTCTTGTACTGGCTTGCTAGCTAAGCCATAAGGCGAAATGATGAGGCTTGTTGTTTTTTGGTGACTGGTGAGGCCCTGTTAGTTGCCAAGTGGCTTGAGAGGCCAACATCCTGCCTACATTACTTGCGTTGGTGCAAGGGGATTTTTGTGGCCACCGAACGTTGTGGCAGGATGTTGGCCTCTCGGTGACAGTAACCAGAAAATAGGAAGGGGAGTGACAGGTGAGGCCCTCTCTATGATACAATGTGAGGCGGCTAGCTCACGAGTGGCCTGAGGGGTGTATGCCTCCAAGTGTGAGGCGGGGTGTTGGCCTCGCGGGACCACTAACCGAAGCGTAATGTAGAGAATAAAAGGCGGGGGGTATACCTATGGACCCTAGAACCCTAATTGCCAGTACGCTATTACTATTCCAGGGAAGGTAAGATATGAATAACTACGTGAGCAGGTGTACGTACCAGGTAGTATGGTATTGAACCTGACAATCCAAATAGGTTTTTTAGTAGAACCTGTAACCTAAATGGATAAAATCGTATGGCATAAGGAAATATGGCATAGACCAAGCTTATCCTAATATGTGCAGTATATGTGAAAAGTAAAGTACAGTGATGTGTAAATATTAAACATCGTAGCTATACTGGTTAAATATGTATCAATCTTAACCCATTAAGTGCCATATGTATAAGTGATAAAGTGGCCTGGCCCCACCTTGTATGTTGTATGTCCCCTTGATAGGGGAAAGTCTGTTGTGTGAGCAGCGTGCTGTGTAAAAATGTGTTTGTGAACTATATTACCGGTTACATATATGCAGATGTGTCTGCTACTATGTAATAATATGTGTATTTATACCAGATGTTGATATACTATTTGCTATGTGATTTGCTGTATGTCTTATTGACTGGAAGGGGTCAGTGAATCATGGTGTTGCAAAATGTAAGTGCACTTGAGATCTGTCGAGTGCCCTATAGGTGGCAGTGTAGTTGGATACTGATTGGTATTTGAAATGTTGTTTGTCTTTTGACCTATAGGGGTCAGTGTTTTGGTGTTTGTAAAACCCCATGAAAATTGTCAATGTATTTGACAGACTTGTAGGTGGCAGTATCAGTAGAACCACTGTTGTTCTTGATGTGAACTGTCAATTATTGTGAATTAACATGAAGTTGAGCCCGTGCGGGAGTTTAATGTATGGTATATGGTTATGTTTAAAACAATCTTGTGTGTAATTTTATATTGGCTGTAAAATTGTATATGACATGTGAAGACAGCTGTTGCTTTTGACCAGTAGGGGTCAGAAATGCTGGTTGTATGGTGAAATTCCCCTTAATGCAAAATGCAAGGTTGACCTGAGATTTTAAGAGTGACCTGTAGGGGTCAGTGTGGTTATGTGAACACTTGTTCGTGAGCTATGCCCCAGCTTAATGGATGTATGATGACAATATACCATATGTGAACATAATAGCCTAATAACAGTCATTGTAACAAACCAGTGTTCTGTTCGTGGGTTTTAAAACACAAAACGTGTGTTTAGTACCATAGTAAATGGATGAACTAGTTCCTGTTCGGTAGAAATTGCACAAATAGTGAGCCTGGTATGTCAGGGAAACAAAACAAAACAAGCCTAGTATGTTAGGCAATGAAACAGAACATGTTCCCGTTCAGGAGTACGCTAATGCTAGAAATGAGCCAGAGACAGATATAAACAAGTGAGTTTAAACAAATGATATGCATGAATATGCAATGGTTTTAGAACAGACTTAGATGAATGTAGCTGTAAAGTGAGGACCTGACCCATGCATGATGCCGTGGGACTGATGCCTGGCGTAACGGGTAGGTCAACTTACGGTTTGAGAGTCACTTGGACGCTATCCGTGGCAATGGATTGAAGAATGAAGCTGGTCAGACGGAAAAGCCTGTGGCTGGATTCCTGACACAGCTCAGCTTAGAAAGCCTCATGGAGTAACCAGGTAAAATGGCATCTGGATGACCCAGAAGTGGAAATCATTCTAATGCTGACCTCAAGCGATATGGAGTCAGGTAGGGGGTGTCCCTTATATAGGCCAAACAGGCCAAACGGCCTTAATACATATAGAAAGATAGACATATAAAATGTTTTATTCCAAATGTATTTTACATATTATGTATATATATATGTATAATTATATTATTTTATTAATTCTATGTTGGAGTACCTGCCTGACAACCCAGGCAGAAATATCAGAGAATTTAATTTGAAAGTTCTATATTTACCCTGTAACATTCTAACACCTCATGAAACCTGTACATGGTGGGTACTAAACAAGCTAGTAAATTAGGTGGACAGCGCTAAGAATTATTATAATAAAATCATACACACAAAGGTAGCAGCAGATTTCGCAATTATGTTTCTTACTCTTAAAAAAAGGAAATAAAAGTACAATAATAGTGCAGTATGTTATGAATAATATGGTGATAAAGATATATTCCAAAGGGGCACTCACATTTTCCAGAGCTTTAAAAGCTCTATTTTAGGAGACTGGATGGAACAATCCCCCTCTAAGGATTTCTTTTTGCTGGTATCAGATTCCCAAGGTAGTGCAGTTCATCATATGAAAAAAATAAGGATGTATACCAATGGTACAGTACGTATGTAAAAGTAGGATAAGTAAATAACATTAGACCTACTTACAGTTGCTATTCGGCCACCACTAACCAATGCTCACAAGCAGAAATGGCTGCATTGGGCAGAAAAATACATGAAGACTAATTTTCAAACAGTCCTGTTCACTGATGAGTGCCATGCAGCCCTGGCTAGTTCAGATGGATGGAGTAGTGGATGGTTGATGGACGGCCACCCTGTTCCAACAAGGCTGCAACGTCAGCAAGGCGGTGGTGGAGTCATGTTTTGGGCCGGAATCATGGGAAGAGAGCTGGTCGGCCCCTTTAGGGTCCCCGAAGGTGTAAAGATGACCTGTGCAAAGTATGTGGAGTTTCTGACTGACCACTTTCTTCCATGGTTCAGAAGGAAGAACTATGCTTTCCGTAATAAAATCATCTTCATGCATGACAATGCACCATCTCATGCTGCAAAGAATACCTCTGCATCAATGGCTGCTATGGGGATAAAAGGAGAGAAAGTCATGGTGTGGCCTCCATCCTCCCCTGACCTCAATCCTATTGAGAACCTTTGGAGCATCCTCAAGCAAAAGATTTATGAGGGTGGGAGGCAGTTTACATCCAAACAGCAGCTCTGGGAGGCTATTCTGACATATTGCAAAACAAATTCAAGCAGAAACTGTCCATAAACTCACAAGTTCAATGGATTGAAGACTTGTGAAGCTGCTATCAAATAAGGGGTCCTATGTTAAAATGTAACGTGACCTGTTAAAATGTTAAAAAAGTTAAAATGTTGTTATAAGTTTGATTGAAATAGCTTTTGATTTCAGTAAATATGCTGCAAACACAACAAATAACAATTTTCAGTTCTTTACAACCTATAAAGTGTTTTGAAACTTACTGTGTGTAATAATTTGGAAGAGTGCTTTGTAAGTTTTTTATGTTTAAAAAAAATACTGTTATCATTAGGTTTGTTCAATAAAATTTGAATTGTACTCTTAATAGTTGATAACATGAGAATTATGCTAAATGTTATTTACATCAATTATTTAGGTAAATGAAAAAAATATAACTTGCATAATCATTTTGAACAGGGTGTAAACATATTGTGGCAGGGTCAGAGAGGCTTTCTATGTTAGTAACAGGTTGGAGCGCTCTTTATTTTCAGCATGATAGGGTTAATTGGTGGAAGTCAGCCCTTTTCAGGTGAAAGTAATTAACCTGCCCTAGTGCTATAAAAGCCTGAAGGCATCAGTAAGTCTAACAGCGGGACGAAAGGAAGCAGTTAAGACTAATACTCTGAGACTCTAAAGGAAAAGATACTATATAAAAGGTACTGTATAAAACCCTGTATGTTTAAAGTGCTGTGGTTAAACTGTTTAAAACTAGGACATGGATTCACTGGCCAGTTGAATAGTTAGGACTACTATTGTTAAAGGGACACTCCAGGCACCCAGACCACTTCTGCCCATTGGAGTGGTCTGAGTGCCAACTCCCACTGCTCTTAACCCTGCAAGTGTAATTATTGCAGTTTTTTTTATAAACTGCAATAATTACCTTGCAGGATTAACTCCACCTCTAGTGGCTGTCTACTAGACAGCCACTAGAGGGCACTTCCTGGTTTCTAGCACAGGAAACCTGTGCTAGAGCGTCGCTGGACGTCCTCACGCTCTGTGAGGACCTCCAGTGTCGCTCAATTCCCCATAGGAAAGCATTGAAATTCCCCATACAAATGCATTGCCGCACATTCGTATTAAGTCTCCCCGGTGGGCGGGATTAGTCTAGCCCACCGGCCAACGCAATCAGAGGGAGGAGCGGCGGCGGAGGAAGAAGCAGCGACGCGAGACATCGTCGCTGCCTCTGGTAAGTTACTGAAGGTGTTTTCACCCCTTCAGCAACCGGGGATTGGGGGGTGGGAGGGAGAGGGAACCTGCAGTGCCAGGAAAACGGATTGTTTTCCTGGCACTGGAGTTTCCCTTTAAGTCTCCAAGTTGGAGTAGGATTTATTTTCTTTTATTTATTTCTGTGAAGCACAGCACTGTATAACCTATGGAAAGTGCAAATAAACTGCAACACTATTTTATCCTGACGCTTGTATTTAAAGTTTATTGTCAAGACCCTGTCCATCCTGCCACAATATGTACTACACCATTTCTTTGCTATATTTTCTTTTTTAGAAATATTGTTCTAATATATAACCCTCTATATTTTGGAGGGCAAGTGTAATTTTTTTACATATGTTTTAGCGCTCCACTGTGTTCAGTTTTTGTGCTTTAAGTCCACTAGGTTTACTCTATTTTTACAAGATTTTGTGTGTAGTTTGAGGTCCTTACACGTGTGTTGAATGGCAATTGCATCCTCCTGACACAAACTCACTCTCTACAGCCCCTAGAAACACACACATACACTTCCGCCCTTGTACATACAAACACTGAAGTCCTAATACATACACAACAGCCTGAATACAAATGCACACTACCCTACACACACTAGAGCTGCAATATATATATACACACTTTACATCACCTATACACAAACTACATTCCATATTCATTAACATGCACACTACAGTCCCTATACATACATTACACCCTCTAGAAACACTACATCCCATAGGCAAATGCACACACATGCTCTCTCCCCTAGAGATACAGACACACAATCTCTACAACCCCTAAACATGCACACTTTACAGCCACTGGAAAGACATAAACACTACAGTCCCTAACCACACATACTACACCACAAACAGACTACTTTACACACACAACACTACAATCATCTCTACGCACAAGGGGAGTAAGCAGCAAACACACTGCAATTGTATGATTGAATTTTGCTTGTGCTGTGTAGAACATGGAGCATTGTTTCCATGCAAGTGCTCTTCCGCATTAAATGATGTCCTGGAGAGACAGCAAACTAACATGTTCATGACCCATCCCTGTCCCTGCCCCCTTCTGCTGGGCTGCTCTGTCTTTAAATGCCCAGGTCCAGTTTTTTGTTCCCAGTCCAACCCTGATAAACAATTGTTGTGTGAAAAATGCAAAAAGCTGTCATGAACACTAACTTTGGCCAAGGTTTGTGACTGAGTGGTTACCATAAAAGATTGAACATACCCTATTTTTAATATCCTGGGTTGTCTACCTCTGCATATGGTATGCCATGAGAGAAATCATTTTCTTTCTTAGGCTTATGGTCTCAAAGGCAACATAGGCCTAGAAAACCAATCTGGCAAATCTCAATATGTAAAAATTTAAAGGAGTAAGCCCATGGTTGACCCTGCAATTTTCAAAAACACAATTAAACTTGTACACTGGAGGCATTGTTGATGTGTGGGCAGGATTTCTGCCGCCCTAGGCAAAGATCCATTTTACCGCCCCTTCGTGTCACTCACTCACTGACAGACATACACACACTGACACACATACACACTCAATGACACACAGAAACTCACTGACAGACATTCTCTCACTTACACACACACAGACTCTCACTGACAGACAGACATACACACACACACACACTGACAGACAGACATACATTTACTCAGACACTCACTGGCAGGCATAAACTTATTCACTGACATACACTCACTCAATGACAGACAGACACACATTCACTGATACCCATACTCACTCCCTGACAGACACACACTCCCTGACAGACACACACTCCCTGACAGACACACACTCCCTGACAGACACACCCTCCCTGACAGACACACACTCCCTCCCTGACAGACACACACTCCCTCCCTGACAGACACACACTCCCTCCCTGACAGACACACACTCCCTCCCTGACAGACACTCACTCACTCCCTGACAGACACTCACTCACTCCCTGACAGACACTCACTCACTCCCTGACACACACTCACTCACTGACACACACTCACTCACTGACACACACAGGCAGACACTCACTCACTGACAAACACTCTGTCACGTGCGTGGGCTATAGGCCCAGCCGAGACAGTGGGGAGAGTGTGGAAGTGACAGGGTTAATGACACCAGACCCCTGGTTACCTGTTGCTAGTCCCAGCAACCACTCAATTAACCCCTGCAATCCCTTCTACACTATCCCCCTTAGTACTACTGCCACCACCAAAACTTTTAAACCCGGGCGTCTTAGGTTACCCCACACACAGGAGAATTATAGTATCACAGTTCTACTTTTACTGATAAAACATATATAGTTAACCCCTTTTGGTAACGTGTTTACCTGAGCTTTCCTCTGGAGAGTGAAGCTCATAGAGAACAGAGACACAAGCTGATTAAGTAAACATTTAATCTGACAAAAAGGATTCACAGTGCTGAGTACAAAATACAGAAATAAATGACATACAGATAACAAATTGCAAAACAGTACATAAAATAAAATAGGAGAAAACACAAGAAATTCCTTACATATATTTACCCCATATAGAATTCTTGTGGGAGTCTTAGATGGTATAGATCTCCTAGAAGTTACTGACAAAAGAAAAATTGAATAACTGACTTCCCTGGATAGTCCAACACCCTCATATATCTAAACTAGTTGTTTCTCAGTGGGCAGACCCCTGGGGGGGATCAGAGGGGGCTGGTCTGGCAGTCTATTGCCCACTCTATGAAATTCCTTGTGTCCAGCTCTGGTGATGGCTATCTAGATGTTTTATGGTCTAGGCCTGGTGCAAGATCAAAGACCACAATAAATGTCATCCCAAGGTTTACAAAAAACAACTCTTAACATATATAAACACACATCAAACACCAACTCATGCCTTTGGCATGACACCTCCCCCTTAAGATGGTGGACAGAAAAATGCACCCACAGGCTGATTTATCTGTCTACCATTAACCCTCTAGTTGCCGAGACAGGCCATCTGCATTCCCATGCAAGCTGCCCTTTTTGTGTTGGACAGTGAAATTATACTGTTGGAGGATGAGGCTCCAACGGAGCAGCTTACCATTGTTACCTGATACTCTGTCCAGCCAATGCAGCGGGTTGTGATCAGTGATGACAGTAAAGTCTCGGCCGTACAGATATGGCTGTAATTTCTGCAAAGCCCATACAACAGCTAGACACTCCTTTTCTATTACTGCATAGGCCACCTCCCTGGGTAACAGCTTCCTACTAAGGTAGAGGATAGGATGCTCTTCTCCTTTAGAGTTAACCTGGCTAAGCACAGCTCCCAGCCCAAAGTTGGAAGCATCTGTCTGGACCACAAACCTCTTACTAAAATCTGGGGCCTGAAGGACTGGGAAGCTAGACAAGGCTGTCTTTAAGGCAGTGAAGGCTTTTTCACAGTCCTCAGTCCACGTTATCTGCTTGGATACTTTCTTTTTAGTTAAATCTGTGAGTGGTTTGGCTGTCTCACTGTAGTCTGGGACAAATCTGCGATAATACCCTGCTGTCCCCAAAAATGACATGACCTGTTTCTTGGTCTTAGGGACTGGCCAGGCCGTAATAGATTCCACCTTACTGGGTTCAGGGCGAATGGACCCCCCTCCTACTCTGTGCCCCAGATACTGCACCTCTGTCATGCCTATCTGACACTTTTCTGGTTTGATGGTGAGCCCTGCCCCTCTTATTTGCTCCACTACTTTGCCCAAATGAACCAAGTGCTCCTCCCAGGTCTTGCTAAATACGGCAATGTCATCCAGGTATGCCACGGCGTATTCCTCATGGGTCTCCAATAATTGATTAACCAATCGCTGAAAAGTGGCCGGGGCATTTTTCATCCCAAAAGGCATCACACTGAACTCATACAACCCAAAAGGAGTGATAAAGGCTGACCGCTCTTGGGCTTCTGGAGTCAGAGGGATTTGCCAGTACCCTCGACTCAAATCCATAATAGTTAAATACTGAGCACCTGCTAACTGATCCAGTAGTTCATCTATCCTGGGCATGGGGTAAGCATCAAATGTGGTCACTGCATTTAACCTTCTATAGTCTACACAAAACCTGATGGATTTATCTTTCTTGGGAACCAGCACTACAGGAGAAGCCCAGGGGCTCTTTGATTTCCTAATTACCCCAAGACCCAACATGTCTTCAATCTCCTTATGGATGTGGGCCCTTACCTCTGGGGATACCCGTAGGCTACCTGTCGTAGTGGTGGTTGGCCATCAGTATCTACGTGGTGGGTGGCTAGTGTGGTTCGTCCTGGCTGCCCGGTAAATGTGTCACTAAAGAGGCCTAGTACCTGATGTAGCTGCCTCTTCTGTTCAGCTGAGAGCTCTGGGTTGATTTTTGTATCTTGTAGGGATTCCTGGCCTTTAGCTTCCTGTACCAGATCCAGCAAAGGATCATTACCTAGTTCTTCCTCTGGTGAACTACATACACTGAGTACCAAATTCTCTGGGTCATAATATTCCTTTAACATGTTAATATGATACTGCCTCTGCCTCTCACCCTTTTCATCGAGGGCTACTACGTAGGTGGTGGGTTCTAAACGCTGCAAAATGAGGAAGGGACCCTCCCAGGCAGCCTGCAACTTATTTTGTCTTATGGGGTTCAAAACCATGACCTTTTGTCCCACTTCATAGACCCGGTCCCTAGCATTGCGATCATACCAATATTTCTGCCTAGACTGCGCTGCTGTAAGATTGTCATGCACTAGCCCTGTCAATGTCTGCATCCTGTCCCTAAACTTAAGAACGTATTCCACCACAGAAGTTTCTGGAGTGTGTAGCCTCCCCTCCCATTCTTCCCTTACTAAATCTAGGGGTCCCCGCACTTTGCGTCCATAGAGTAATTCAAAGGGTGAAAAACCTGTGGATTCCTGTGGATTCCTGTGGTACCTCCCTGTAAGCAAATAGTAAATGGGGTAAATACTTCTCCCATTCCCGGCCCTGTGATTCTACAAATGTTTTGAGCATCTGTTTCAAGGTCCCATTAAACCTCTCACAGAGACCATTGGTTTGGGGATGGTAAGGGCTTGCTACCAAGTGCTGTACATTAACCTTCTTACAGAGACTCTGCATCAGATTAGACATAAACTGCATACCTCGATCAGTGAGCATTTCTTTAGGGAAACCCACCCTGCAAAATATACTGATCAGAGCGTCCGCTACCTTATCTGCCCTGATAGAGGATAAGGCGATGGCTTCAGGATATCTGGTTGCATAATCCACCACTGTCAGAATAAATTGCTTCCCGGTACTGCTGGGGATAGCCAACGGCCCCACAATATCTACGGCAACTCGTTCAAAGGGTACAGTTATGATGGGCAGAGGCACTAAGGGAACACGAGTAACATCCCCAGATTTGCCCACTCTCTGGCAGACATGGCAGGACCGGCAGTAATTTGCAACTGCAGTGCCCATGCCAGGCCAGTAGAAATTGTGAGCCAATCTTGATTTTGTCTTGGTTACCCCTAGGTGTCCTGCCAAAGGGGTTTCGTGGGCTAACCTCAGCAGCTCACCCCTGAACTTCCTAGGAACCACTAGTCGTCTTTCTCCCTCCCTGGTCCCCTGTATATTGACAGGAAGGGATTCCCAGTACAATATATTATTATCCCAATATACACTGTGCCTATCTGTGTCAGTGCCTGGTTGTTCAGCGCGGTGTCTCAGCCCTTCCAAGGAGGGGTCACTGCGCAGAGCTTCCAGGAAACTCTTATTGCCCTCTCCCCACCATGCTGCACAAGAAGGTACTGCTCCCTTTGGCAGAGCCTCAAGGGGTGGGATAGGGTCTACACCATTCTCTGCCTGTTCTACCGCTGCAGCTCTGGCACACTGCTGATGTGTTACTACTGCCACCAGGGGTACACATCCCTGGCTTTCACCTTCCTCCTCCCCCTTACTCTCTGACATCCCAGCCTCACAGTATTTTGATACAGGCACATCACTACTCTCCCCTATATTACATTTGGTAGACATCACTGGTTCAGTTACAGGTAGATATTTATCCACACCCTGCTCTCCCTCCCAGCAATCACACTTCACAATGTCTCCCAAAGTTTCACACAATACCTTAGGTGGAGCAGTCAGTCCTGGCTCACAAACAGTGTCCTCTGGAGCATAGTGGCAGAGCATCCTGCCCAAATCATTCCCCAACAGAACATTAACAGGGATATCCTCCGAAACCCCCACTTCCCGCAAACCTTTGCCTGCACCCCAATCAAGGTACACACATGCCAGGGGCACAGCGGGACGCACACCCCCAATTCCTTTGATGGACATGGTTCTTCCAGGGATTATGTCCTCCGTATTCACCACTTCAGGGCGCACCAGGGTGAATGAAGCTCCAGAATCTCTCAGTCCCACGGTCACTTGGTCACCCACAATTACACTCTGCAGGTTATCCTCTCGTTTCCCCACAGACCCACCCACAAGCAAAACTGATGGTGCCTCTCCACGGGCTGGTGAGGGTATATTCCTAGTGGGGCAAGTCCTGCTCAGATGACCAATCTGGTTGCATCGAAAACAACGGCGGGCATCTGACTCACTTGATATAGCCCTGGCTACGCTGGCAGTCGGTGGTGAAGTTCTCACTGCAGATCTTACAGGTGGTGATTGAACTGTAGCTTCTCTCCAGGTCGAAGTAGCAGCTGACACAAGTCCACGCTTGGATGTGGGTGCATGGATGTCGGCATAGTCGTCTGCCAGTTCTGCAGCAGCTCTAGCATTTTTTGGCTTTCTTTCCAAAATCCACTCTCGTACATTAGGGCTCCGGGTCTGCAAGAACTGCTCCAGGACCAGTAAGTCATTAAGGGCTTCATAGGTAGTAGCTTGTACTCCTGTTACCCATTGCCGGAACGTGGTTTCTAATTGTGCAACATATAGAATGCAGCTGGATGATGGGCATTGCTGCATACTCCTAAACTTTTTCCTGTAAGACTCAGGAGTAAGGTTAAAAGTTTTTTGCAATGCAGATTTGATTGCCTCATAGTTGTTATCAGTCTCTGGGGGAAGGGACACAAACACATCCAAGGCTTTCCCTTTCAATTGTGGAGTTAAATATCTGCCCCACTGGTCTGAGGGTAGTTGATGCTGCCTGCATACTTTCTCAAAACTTTTAAAAAATACATCCAAATCTGTCCCTTCTTCGAGGGAAGGAAAATCATCCTTACGGAGCCTACGTGTGCTGGACTCTGATGCATTGCTGTTCAGTGAGGACTGAAGGGTAAATTGCAGTTTAGCAAGTTCCAGCTCATGTCTCCTTTGTGCCTCCCTTTCTGCAGATTCCCTTTCTGCAGCCTGCTGTTGGATCATCACATGCAGGGCCTCCTGAGGATTTGCAGCCATCAGTTGCCGAAATAAATCAGTTGAGCAAATGTCCTTAATGTTTTGAGGGGTACAACCACCAGGCATTTCAGTAAGCAACACTCCTGCAGTAGTAGGGAGCTCGGTAACCCTTTCAGTGTCCGTCTCTGGCTGGAAAATATGGCTGTCAGCCTCCACAAGGTCAGCAATAAGTTGTGCCTTATTTTTGCCAAAAGTTGGTAAATTCTTTTCTTGGCACAACAATTCCAAGGCCTCTTTTGATTGTTTGCGATAGGCCTCCATATTCACAAATAGGATAGAGAAAGAAAAACAAAAGATGGGAGGGGAGAACTGTTTTGCACTTTGTATGTATTTTAAATCAGCACTGAGCTTGGTCTTTGGAAATTACACAAAAACAAGTATGCAATTTCTTTTAGTGCTAAGACCCCCTTTACAGGTAAAATCTAGCAAGCACTAAAAATCTCTAAATATATCCCACTAGCTGCCGCCAGTTTGTCACGAGCGTGGGCTATAGGCCCAGCCGAGACAGTGGGGAGAGTGTGGAAGTGACAGGGTTAATGACACCAGACCCCTGGTTACCTGTTGCTAGTCCCAGCAACCACTCAATTAACCCCTGCAATCCCTTCTACACTATCCCCCTTAGTACTACTGCCACCACCAAGACTTTTAAACCCGGGCGTCTTAGGTTACCCCACACACAGGAGAATTATAGTATCACAGTTCTACTTTTACTGATAAAACATATATAGTTAACCCCTTTTGGTAACGTGTTTACCTGAGCTTTCCTCTGGAGAGTGAAGCTCATAGAGAACAGAGACACAAGCTGATTAAGTAAACATTTAATCTGACAAAAAGGATTCACAGTGCTGAGTACAAAATACAGAAATAAATGACATACAGATAACAAATTGCAAAACAGTACATAAAATAAAATAGGAGAAAACACAAGAAATTCCTTACATATATTTACCCCATATAGAATTCTTGTGGGAGTCTTAGATGGTATAGATCTCCTAGAAGTTACTGACAAAAGAAAAATGAATAACTGACTTCCCTGGATAGTCCAACACCCTCATATATCTAAACTAGTTGTTTCTCAGTGGGCAGACCCCTGGGGGGGATCAGAGGGGGCTGGTCTGGCAGTCTATTGCCCACTCTATGAAATTCCTTGTGTCCAGCTCTGGTGATGGCTATCTAGATGTTTTATGGTCTAGGCCTGGTGCAAGATCAAAGACCACAATAAATGTCATCCCAAGGTTTACAAAAAACAACTCTTAACATATATAAACACACATCAAACACCAACTCATGCCTTTGGCATGACACACTCAAACACTCACCTCTCTGGGGTCCAGTGGGGGGCAGCTCCTCACTCCTCCTACCCACTGTTTAGTATGCTGTGGCAGAAATGATATCATATTTTGGCTCCTGGCATCACAGAGGGCATGCGAGGGAGGAGTGAGAGGTTGCAAGAAGAGCCTCCCTCGCCGCCTGCCTGCTCCATCACCTCTCCTCCGGGTACCGGCATTGATGGCAGACAGGCACTGTCATCAAGGTAAGAATGTGCCTGCTCTGCCATACAGTGACAGGGCTCCTCTGGGCACCCCCACCTTCGGGCGGCTGGAGGAAGGAGCTGCCCAGCACTGAGGGGGTTAACTCTAGAGCCGCTTGCCCAATGCTGCGGACCTAGACAGGGGGAGCCCACCAGGAGGCCGGCGCCCTAGGCGAATGCTTAGTTCCCTAATGGTGGCACTGGCCCTGTGTGTGGGACATCACAGCATACAAATATGTGTATTTAAGGGCAGTAATAGCTAACAGTATTCTGACATTCACAGTTAAAATGCCATGCAGAACTTGGAAAGTAACATTTCTTAATTTCTCACAATTTTTTT